CTCTTACCAATGAAACAGACTTTAAAGAAGTTGTGTTTTACAATGCAGAGAGTGGAGGATGCTTTTTATACATTGGTGAGAGAGATCCGACAATACAGATTGAAAAAAATCAGCAAAGAAGAAAAGACTCCTGGCTGTGTGAAAATTAAAAAATGCATTATAATGTAATCTGGTAAGTTCAGCGTATTAATATTGGCAGAAAGCAGTTGTCTTTCAAAGGTAACAAAGTAGCAACCAATTTGGAACTACTTAGGTGTGGTATTCTAATTTGAAGTATTAAAAGATAAGAAATTTAAAGTTTGTTTCCATAATTAGTACATTTATTTTTAATCCAATAGGTATTGAGATAATTTTGATGGCTGTAGTAAATTAATCTACATTTGTTATAAGGTCTAATGATTTAATTAGTCTTAAGTAAGCTAAGCATTTGGGAGCTGATATTTACCTTTATTTTTGAGATAAATCAGGCTTGGGTTTTGAGATTATCAGCAGCTTTTGATTTTTTTAGAGAGGAAGAAAAAATATAAGAAAGGATATAGAACAGTAAGATTGTATGGCCCAGAAGTAGGAAAGGACCATTCCTACAAAGTATTTTTCCTTTTGGACATTGCACAAGCCAACAACTATTCTGTTGCCTTTGTTCTCTAACTCAGTGGCATCAACAGCACTTTTTTATAAGTGAGAAACCTGGGTATTTTACTTAGGATGACTTCTACCTCCCTCTTTTTCATCCCCATTTGGAAGCAATCACAAATTCCTATGATATTATGTTCTAACTATGTTTTTTATCATATCATTAGTCCAGGCCTCTATCATTTTTCACTGGGACTGTTATAACCACCTATTTGCTTTACCTATTGCTCCCATCATTCACTGTGCAATGAGAGAGATGCACTTAAAAGAAATATCATTCTCTCATCTTTAAATCTAGTCACCGACTTACCAGTGGAATAAAATCTCAAATTCTATAGCATGTCATGTATGGCCCTTCCCACCTTCCCACCAATCCAGCCTTTTTTGGCCTTATATCTAAAAACTCTCATCATCTTGCCTGAATTTTTTTTTTTTGTCCTTGTATAAACATCATGATTATTTTCCATCTTCCCTTGAGTCTTGGCTCTTGTTTGGAATGTCAGTATTCTTATCGCTAGTCTTATTTATTTGCTAATACTTATTTTTTCATGATTTCCATTCTCCTGTTTCCTAAGAGTCTTTTTTTAAATCCTTAGACTGGGCATAGTGCCCTTCCTGTGTATTCCCAATATACTGCTCTTAACTACTGTATGTTTCCCATATTGTACTGAAATAACCTTTTTTTTTTTTTTTTTTTAAATGTTTCATTTCTATATTAGGCAGTAGAATGTTAGAGAGCCAGAATCATATATTTTAAATTTTTGCATGCCCATTGCCTACTGAGGTTCCTGGACACAGTAGCTGCCCAGCAAAGATTTATTGAGTGGAATCTCAAATAACTTTCTAAACTAACCCTTATTAAATTCTGTCTTGCTCAGAAACATTTCATTTAATAGGTGTCATAAAATTTATGCCAAAGCATAAGTTTCTGATGCATAGTTGCCAATATGTAATGTTCTGTGAGAATGTGAAATAAAATAATTTTTCAAAAACTACTAGGATATCATTCATTGTACTTATTAAACTAAAAGTTGGTATCCTTTATTACATGAATTTTAGGTCTAAAATAATTTATATCCCAAAAATATAAAATATACATCTGAATAGTTGACCGAGTTCTAAACTATATTATATCATATGCTGATCTACTAAGAAGAAACAAAGCATGACTGGTATTAATTATTATTGAGTTTATGAACTCTTAGTATTTTTTGAGTATCATTGTATAAAAGTAATATTTTAATTTAGAAGTTGTGGTAAAATTTAACATTACAGTGCAGTTTGAAAAGATGAACTTTTTTTTTTTTGTCTTTTGTCTTTTTTCCGTGTCCGGCAACGGATCGCAACCCTCAGTGTTGCCCCCGTACCGGACCGGGGACCGGCAACGGGATCGCAAGCCTCGGTGTTGCTCCCGCGCCTTGCTCAGCCAGCGAGCGGGAGCTGATCTGTACGTGGGATCCGAACCCTCGGACGGGAGCGCCGCCGCGCTTCCCAAGCGGCGCACTATCCAGTGCGCTACTGGGCCGGCCCGAAAAGATGAACTTTTAAAGTAACAGTACCATGACCAGATTTAAGTGGTGGTTTTAATTTTTTATTTTCCCCTCCTCTTACCTCACTAGTGGATGATTTTTAAAATACAATTATTTAGAATAAAACAAAAAATAGGTTTTATGCTTTAATATATATCTAAAACAAAGGCATAAGCATATATTATTCTAAAATTTCTAATTTGTGCAAACTTTTCCCAGTGACTGTAGTGTGAATGTCAAATAATTGTTGGACTTGATGAATTGAATTCTTATTTTTTCAGTGGACATGGATAGATAGCATTTATATAAAGAAAAAGTGTACAAGTATTTTAAAATTTAAAGTTAAATAAAATTTTTTTAAGTTGACAATGATAAATATATACAAATTAGTTTTTTTTAGTTCTGAAAAGGAATAGGTTTAAAAACACAAAATAATTACTGGGATACTACTTTTATCTTTTACATGTGTGCATGAGAATGATTAGTTCCTATGAAAAAAAGAATTCACTGCCCCATGTAGGTTAATTGTGACATTTTCCTAATCATTGAAATTACTTAATTTTAATAAGATTATGTACATAGGAGAGTTCAGTGCAACTCGAGCCAAAAGTATTTGTCAGAATCTTGGAAGAGGGTAATACTTGTCAAATTCTGTCCTCGTTGTCTCCTAATTACTTGTATATTGTTTCACTACAAAATGTTATCTTCTCTCTATCCATCTCGTGGTGTTTCATTTTTTCTGCTTCACCATTTTAGTGCCATTGGCATTTCTTCATTATAAAAGCAGTTGAAATTGGAGTAGACTACATTAGGATGTGTGGTCACAGGAAAATGAATTCATGAAGGGTTGGGGGAGTTACATTAGCTCCTCTAAGATTCCATCCTGTTCTGAGATTTTATGATTCTAAATTGTCCAGTGTTGGTGAGCTATAAGATAATCTTTATTATATCATTGGCAGTTTTTCCCTTTATGTGTTAAGAACGTTAGCATAATTTAGCCTTGATTGTATTGCTGATAAATGATTTTTTATAACTTTTCCTTTCTCCTTTGGGAAAAACAAAAGCATATGTTTGTATTGTATCAGTAATGATATCAGAAAGTGAAAAACATCAATGAGTGCAGTTTGGGGACTTTATTGGAGACATTCATTAGTATTCAAATCAATTCTGCTGGTTTTTATCCTACTACTGTTTGTTTAAATGTGGGCAAACCTTTCATTCCCACTCTGTGTTTATCTCTTTTAAACTGTTGATCATGCTTTTCCAAATTAGATAGATCTGTTGTGAAAATTAAATATAACTTGAAAGAAAATGCTCTGAATTAATTTAGTTACTGTTTTGAAATATTGTTGAATATCTTAGTAATGCAGTAAAGGATAAATCATCACTTAAATTTTTAAATTATTTTCAAGGTAATATAACTTAACTAATGTAATTACATATTATAATATTTAAAATACATATTATAATTATAGAATTTGTAATATTCAACAGAGGTGATTACAATGAATAAAAACCCAATTTTCATTGTTCTTAAAGTGGCTTGATTTATACAACTTAATTTGTTAGGTATTTGTTCTTAAGACTCTCTCTAGTGTCTAGGTTAGGAAGCATTATTATGTTAACAGGTTTTCTTTATTACAGTTACTAGTCAGTTGAACAGATTTTAAAATAGAGAAAACTGTATTTTTCCTTCAGTTTTTTTTTTTTTTTGTCTTAAATTTACTTTTTAACAGAAGGGACATGACAAGAATTGACTTATATTTGAATCTTCCATAATTTAAGTATTACAGGGCTAAAGTCTACTTTCTGCCACCACTTTCAGAGTGCCATTTTTCACATTATAGATTATTAGGTTGAAAATTAGTCTGAATTAAAATTGCTTTTAGCCATAATGACTTAGATGCCTTGCTTTGATGGCAAATAGGTGTAGGCCACAATGATCAAATATTGAAAACTCTTTAATGACGGAGCATTTGCCTTTATATGGCAAGCTTTTGAATACTTATATACTAAACAGAAACTAAAACAATAATAAATGAGAGAATCTCTTCCAGACTGATAAACTACAATGCCATTCAAATGCTTTAGCCCATTTCTCCACAAATCAGAGGTGTTACATTTTTCAAAGTAGTATTGTGTTGGAGTCAGTTTAAACCTCTTTCTTAACAATAAGTATGTGAATTGAAACTAATGTCTTAGTATGTATTATTTGAAAACGGAAGTAATATTTTGGATACTGTTTACTTCTTGATCTGAATTATTGGAATAGTATGTTCAGATACTGCTTATTTACTTCTTGGAAAATTATTTCAATCTAACAGATATTATGTAAGAATGGAGCCAGAACTCATTGTTACTGTGAAGATTCATGAAAATAGTTTATGGTTGCATGGCTTATATCTAAAGTCCAAGAACTCAGGGACAATTAAATGTACACACACACACACACACACATGCATACACATGTGCACATGCATTTGGATTTTGATGACTGAGGTTTGCCATATGGAAGAGTTAGTTGCAAATTAAGTTCTCCTGGGAAAAAGTCATTTGTTAAGTTTATGTAAGATTCTGCAATTGATTATCATTGCATATTGTGATAATCAGTGTTTGTATTTATAATGTTTACAAAATATCTGTGAATAAGACATTTAAGAATCTTAAAAGTCTGACATATGTGATATACAAAAGTATTCAGTAGCCCTAAGAGAAACAGTGTCCTTATTCTATCTCAATATTAATGTTTCCATTAAAAATGGAAATTTGCCACCTGTGTACCTCAAACCATCATATGTAAATATTAACAATTTAATACTTTTTATTTATATATTTCAGGGTGTTGACGATGCCTTCTATACATTAGTTCGAGAAATTCGAAAACATAAAGAAAAGATGAGCAAAGATGGTAAAAAGAAGAAAAAGAAGTCAAAGACAAAGTGTATAATTATGTAAATACAATTTGTACTTTTTTCTTAAGGCGTACTTAAGTATAAAAGTGGTAATTTTTGTACATTACACTAAATTATTAGCGTTTGTTTTAGCATTACCTAATTTTTTTCCTGCTCCATGCAAACTGTTAGCTTTTATCTTAAATGCTTACTTTAAAATGACAGTGGAAACTTTTTTTCCTCTAAGTGCCAGTATTCCTTGAGTTTTGGTTTTTGAACTAGCAATGCCTGTGAAAAAGAAACTGAATACCTGAGATTTCTGTCTTGGGGTTTTTGGTGCATGCGGTTGATTACTTTCTACTTTTCTTACCAATTGTGAATGTTGGTGTGAAATGAATTAATGAAGCTTTCAAATCATCCCTATTCTGTGTTTTATCTTGTTACATATGTGGATTAATTACTAAGTATAACTTCAGTTGAGACTTTATGATTGGTTATACTGAAACATTGAGGGAACACAAATTCATGGGCTTCCTGTCGATTCATTTTCTAGGCATCATGTCCTATAGTTTGTCATCCTTAATGAATGTAAAGTTACACTGTTCACAAAGGTTTTCTCTCCCTTTCCACTGCTATTAGTCATGGTCACTCTCCCCCAAAAACTATATTTTTTCTATAAAAAGGAAGTATAACTTCAGTTGAGACTTTATGATTGGTTATACTGAAACATTGAGGGAACACAAATTTATGGGCTTCCTGTCGATTCATTTTCTAGGCATCATGTCCTATAGTTTGTCATCCTTAATGAATGTAAAGTTACACTGTTCACAAAGGTTTTCTCCCCCTTTCCACTGCTATTAGTCATGGTCACTCTCCCCCAAAAACTATATTTTTTCTATAAAAAGGAAAAAAAAAATGGAAAAAAAAATTCAAGGCAATGGAAAACATTAAAAGGCCATTTCCTTTTCACATTAGATAAATTACTATAAAACTCATAATAGATTTTCCTGTTAAGGCAGACCCAGGATGAAATGGGGATTATAGCTACCATTTTGGGGCTATATTTACTTGCTATTAAATTTTTATATTAATTGAAAAAATTTTAACATGTATAAAAAATTCTCATAGGAATTAAATATAGTCTCCCTGTGTCAGATTACTCTTTCTTAGTATAACTTTAAATCTTTTTTCTTTTTTTGGCGGCTGGTGGGTACAGGGATCAAACCCTGGACCTTGGTGTTATGAGCACCATACTGTAACCAATTGAGCTAACCGGCCAGCCTTAAATCTTTTCTTGAACTTTGGTCTTTGAAAATAGTTTTAATTCTACTAGTAATATTGAAGATTATTTGGTCCAGTTATAGGATAGTAGGTATTGAAGAGACCAAGTTTGCAAGGCCAGGCCCTTCGTGAACCTTTGAGCTTCATTGAGAGTTTTGCAGTATGGACTGCATCCCTGTGGTCATCCAGTGTTGCCATGCATTGATTGGTCAAAATGAGGACTAGGAGAGAGTTTGTATAGTTCAACAAAATACATTCTCACTATATGGTGGTCCCACTGACAAATCAGGAGCATTGCTTTTGTTTTAAAAAACAGAACTTTTTAAAAAAATTACTTTTAAATATTAAAAGTTGATATTTTGGGGTGGGGTGGTGCCAAGACATTAATTTTTTTAAACAATGAAGTGAAAGTTTCAAAATCTCTATGTTTGGCTAGTTCTTACTAGCTAAAGTAACATTTCATAAACACTTTCCTAAATTCATATTAAAAAATAGATAAGTTAATATTAATGAAAACAGTTCTTTCAAAGCATTTAAAATGTTACTTAATTTAAAATATTTGAAGTGAAATAGTGTGAAAATCACTGGACTAGGAGGAAGTTGACTTAGATTCTAGATATGTGTCTTTTAGAACTCTGATTTTAGGCAAATCACTGTGCATTTCTTCATGTTAAAAGAAGTCATCTCAAAGGCTCTAACTTTAAAACTATGTTATTTATATTCACTTTACATAAGCATACACCCATTTGTCAAGCTCAGCACATTCTGTAACTTTTTACCTGTTATCTTTAGTACAAGTCTTGGGCAAAATTGTGCAAGAGGTAAAGTTTATATTTGAATATCCATTCTCCAGTTTCAGGACTCCCCTCCCATATTTGTGTCATCTTGCCAGTCTACCCTTCCACATGCCCCATCACTTGATGCAATTTTCTTTTAATACATCCATTTCCTTTAACCTCAAGATTTATTGCTTCTATGGAAATCTCCATGAAGGTGTCCCATTAAGTCACATCAAAATGCCCTACATTTTATTTCCTCAGGGCTCAAAATAATCTGACAGACACTACAATGGGATTTGACCTGATAGCTGATTTTCAGGTGGTAGCCGTCGCAATTTAATCTTGATCCTTTGAACATCATCTCTTTGCTGCCCAGTCCGTTAGTGACTAAGTAGGAATTTTCACACCTGGTATGAATAGACAGAACCCAACCCAGTGGAAGGAGAATTTAATAAAGGTAGTGCTAAAAGATTCCTTAGGTACTCTACAGCTAGGACTAGCCCTGGTAGCAGTGTTTTAATAACGAAAATCTTCCTACAATGAAAAATACTTTAAAATTTATTTCATAAAGCTTACTTTTTATCAGAATTCATTTATTCAACAAATATGTATCAAGTGCCTACCAGATGCCAGCCAGTACACAAGGCACTGAATATGATATGGTATCCCCGAATAAGAGACATAATCCCTGTCTTTTGGTAGTGCTACAGTAATCTGCAATATCTTAGTAAGACATTTGGAACATGACCCAGAGATAAGGCAGTGCACATTTTAGTTTTGCAAAGAAGGGGTTTGGTCTAAGGTTTCTTCCCGTTCTAAAATAATTGTTTTGCAGTGATTCCAATGCAACTGTTTAGTCAAGCTACTTTATATAGATCACTTTACTTCATTGTTTTAAATCACTAAACTGGATTGTATTTTTTTTTTATTTGGCATAACTATGTGATTCTATTGGGACAATTGTAGTACACATTAAGTTGTATGTCAGATACTAAATGTTAAAATTCCCGAGTGTGTAATACTCTTTCTTCTTGTGTAAGTAATTAAAATAGACTTTCAAAAAATTAAACGTTGACTTATAAAATAGTTTTGTTTATCTAGGTATGAATAAACAGGTGCCTGAACTAATTCACAGAAAAGGAAACTTCTCTGTAAAAACCAGTAAGATTTCTGAAATGCTGTACTAGACTACAGATTTATGGAACATTGTCTAGGTAGGGTCATAAGACTTACATAGTACCTCCTCTTGAGGAAGGCAAAGAAATAAATGGCCATACTTCAGGAACTGCAGTGCATAACTGATAGGATATTTAGAACTCTTGAATTTTTTATGTAGCTGGGCAATTTTTTTTAAGGTAGTGGTAATTATCCTTTATTACATGAATTTTGAATGGTTTAACAAAGGGTTTGTTTTTGTAGAGATTTTAAAAGGAGAAAGAATCCTAGAAATAACATAAATGGTATCTAATTATTACAGCCTTAAAGATAAAAATTCTTGATGAAGTTGGGAAAAAGTGCTAAACTATAGTTTTAGGCATGTTTGTCTTCCACATATAGTCTTCCACGTTTGTGGAAGAATATAGCTTACACATATAGTATAATTTAAGTGAATATTCCCTGTTAGGAATTTTAGGCTCTATTTTAACTGAGTCACACTGCATAGGAATTTAGAACCTAACTTTTATAGCTTATCAAAACCTTTGCCACCATTGCACAATTTTGTCCTAACATATATATATATAGAAACTTTGTGAGGCATGTTAAGTTACAGTTTGCACAAGCTCATCTCATTTGTATTCCAGTGATTTTTTTCTTCTAACCATATTTTTCCAAATAATATATATACATTTAGGGGTTTTGTAGGTAGTAAAAACTATCCGAGGTCATTTCCATTTGTCAAAAAGTAATAATTTCTTGATAATTATGTAGTAAAATTTTTTAAAACCCGGCATTTACTTTAAAGCTGAATTTATATTTAGCAAATTCTGTGTTAATATTGGCTAGCATGAATTCTGCATTGAGAATTTGAATAGCATACACCTGTTAGCTGTAAATTCTGTCAGCAAATGAAAATTATTTCTTTCCAAAGATATATTAACATTAGTTCTTGAAGAATAATCATAAATTAAGATTTGTGTTCTAGTTTCATAGTTTGAAGTGCCTGTTTGGGAAGATGATAGGCAATTTAGATGAATTTAGGAAAAACAAGGTTATTACCTGCAGAAATGTCAATTACAGAGGATCCACCCTCCCCCACCCCTATAGAGCTAAATGGATTACATAATGTTTTATCCCAGAGTTTCCAATTCCACTGTCTTGTGTTTTCATGTTGAAAATACTTTTGCATTTTTCCTTTGAGTGCCAATTTCTTACTAGTACTATTTCTTAATGTAACATGTTTACCTGGAATGTATTTTAACTATTTTTGTATAGTGTAAACTGAAACATGCACATTTTGTACATTGTGCTTTTTTTTTTTTGTGGGACATATGCAGTGTGATCCAGTTGTTTTCCATCATTTGGTTGCGCTGACCTAGGAATATTGGTCATATCAAACATTAGATTTAAAAATGACCACTCTTTTAATTAAGATTAACTTTTAAATGTTTATAGGAGTATGTGCTGTGAAGTGATCTGAAATTTGTAATATTTTTGTCATGAACTGTACTGCTCCTAATTATTGTAATGTAATAAAAATAGTTACGGTGATTATGAGAGTGTGTATTTCTTGATGACAACTTGAAACAGCTGATATAGAATACTTTATAAGACATAGACACTGTAGTATGCCAGTGAATCTTTTTTGCAGGTTGTAAGTTAGAAACATTATTTATAAAAGGTCCTGCAACATTAGTAAAGGTTTAAGTATTTGCTTAAACTTAGGTTAGGTTTAGGTCCACTGCCATGTTAACTCATTTAGAAGTAGATGCAAAACAGATCTGCTTTGATGACAAAAGAACAGAATGAAATTATTTGTTACTTTTTATCAAATATTGATGCACAATAAGTGATGTTTTAAGGCCCAGAGTGAGCCAGCAGCAGAATTAATAGAAATAATTGAATAGTTATTTATGTAATGCCAGTCACCGGCAAGCTATTTCAAGGTCAGAAGTAATCTTACTCCGTACATATTATTTCTATAATTGCATTTAAATCAGGTACTATATTTGTTTTGTCACGAGCCTTGAATATGTGCTGTTAGTGTACCAAACTGGGTCAAAAATAAGGCACTCCTTCAAAAGTTAAGGGGAATAAGTGTGTAAGAAATTATTTTGCTTATTAAATGTGCATTAAATGGCATTTTCATGTCAGTAGAATGGAGAAATGGGCTAAGAATAAGTTAGGAAATTAATATTAGTGTATTATACTTTCAAAATTGGGTTCTCATTAATTTATAACGTAGTATAAATAAAGCGCCATTTTAGTATAAAAATTGAACATAAAGCGTTGCTGATTAAGTTTACAGGATGAATAGAAGTTGAAACCTATTAATTTTAGTTTAATAGAGCACCAGCTCATGTATTTTTTATACATGTATATCTTGTCATTTTAAGTTAGAATTATTTTACAATAATTGGTATACATAAACAATTGGCACTGATTTGCAACCAATACATATAGTATTTCAGCCAAATTGTAGTAATAATGATCAGTTAGTTTTGTTGATATCTGAATAATAGCGTTGTTTCATAGCTCTGTATTTCCTAAGGAAGTATAAGGCTTCTAGCTCCTTCATTACAAATTCACCCCGTCCAATGAGTTCTTTTATCTTCTCTGGGTCCTTCACGTCTTTGTTTTTAAGAAAAACATTCTTCAAACGCCTTTTAAAATAGTCTGCTCCTTTTGGATAGTCTCGTCCAAGATACAGCAGCTTAAAAAAGAAAAATTATATGTTTCTAAACAATCCATGTCATATTATAACATTTATAAAATTGGCAACATAATTACTTACGTTTTTATAAAGATTCAATACTTCTCCTCTTAAAGGATTGGCCATTTTCATTTATCATGGAAATTACCCACTTTTGTAAATAATATACCTAAAAAAAGGAAATTTTTTTGCAAATAACTGCACTGTCTTAAAAAAGAATCAAAGAAAAAAGATATTACACAAATGGGAAAATGGTAACTTCTTTTCCAGTCAATATTTATTGAGCACTTCTACGTTCCAAGCATGGGATATAGCTATGAACATGTCAGGTAAGATAACCTGCTCTCACAGAACTAACTTCTCCTGAGGGAGACATAATAAGCAAAGAAGATAATTATGAGTTGTGACAAGTTCTGTGAAGGAAACAGGATAATGAGAGAGAAAGTGGATTATCGTAGATGTGTAGGTGTACCTCCTTTTATGCCACAGTGGGATGAGTTAGAACTAGCTTTGAATCCCAGCTGCATAATGTTGTACAGGTTACTTAACCTTTCTGAGCCTCAGTTTCCTTATCAAAAGGAAGATTGTCTTTACCCTGCTCTCAAGGCAAGGACAGATCCATTTGGAGGACATTGTGAAGAGGCCTGACCAAATTTGGAAGGGTGCTATCCAGAGGGAAGCTAAAAAGTAGAACAAATTGGGTGTGTCAGTCAAGCAGGCTGGCAATTAATGTTAGATGGGCAGTAAGATTGACTGTGAAGAGGCCAAGTGAACAACCTTTAAGGGCATCCTTGAGGAGCTGGCAACATCCAATGGGATAGATCATGCTACATTATGTGTAATTTGTTAATGCTACTAAGGAGAGGAGGCTCCTTAAAGGCACCATGACAGCCAAAACTAGAAAATAATTTCCCACTACTTGGTACAGCTGTGGGGTTAAATCATGAAATTCCTAATATTGCATCCTATCAGGTGGATACAATTCCAATTGTTCCACTGTGGTTGATGTTAATTTTGATTGACTGATTAAAGTGTTTGCTAAGAGTGTCCACGGTAAAATTACTGCCCAAGGAAACTAGTCCTCTTAATGGAGAATGGTATTTAGGATCTACAGTATGAATGGAATATTTTGGAAAACAAGATCTGGGGGATAGAAGTGCTCATTACTATGGAGTTGTCACTGTTCTCATATCCTCTAAGTGGACAAAGCTGCAAGTGTATAAACACACAGACGTGAGTGTAGTATGTATATTCTGGATATTTTAACTGGATATATTAACCTTTATATAATCTATTACCTGACATTCAATTCCAACAGTATGGGGTTTATTTTAGTTTCTTTCCATAGTTTTAACACTCTTGTCCAACAATGGGAAGGCTGGTTTCCATTATCCTCAGTAATTTTTTGGAACATCACCCCACCTATTACATAACCAAATTTCTGTCATCATACTTTCCATAGTTTTAACACTCTTGTCCAACAATGGGAAGGCTGGTTTCCATTATCCTCAGTACTTTTTTTGGAACATCACCCCACCTATTACATAACCAAATTTCTGTCATCATAACCAATCACACAGTCTCTACTCTCTGAGCTCTGCCACCTAGCGCCAGACTGCTACTGTCACCATCCCACACACATTTCCCCATTCCCCTTTCCCCATCACCTATCCCTCTTGGGCTCATACATGTTGTACCTCTTCCCCCTTCATGGAAAAGTCCCACTCTTTTCGGACTATAACAACCTGTGCCACTGCTGCCTCCATCCTAATACCTTCCTCACCTCAAGCTAGGCTGCTGCTATGTACAACCTCATCCCCTCAGAGACTCTCCTCACCTCATTTGGGCACCAATACCCCTTTCCGGGCTACTTCATCACCAACCCTTCGCCAACCTTCATCTCACCCCTCTTCCCTAGATGCCTATCTTGCTCAGCCCCACCTAATGGCTTTTGGAATGAATGCTGAAGGGCAAGCAGGAAGCAACTTAAACTTTTAAAATAGCCTTTTAGATCAGATTTAAGGGTTAATTTTATAATTAACTAGCAGAAAGTGTAGATTAAAATCACAGCACCATATTCAGTTAAAATTTATTGTGCCAAATAATTTCAGTCCTCCTGTTACTTTCATTTTGATTCAGCCCTGAAGGAAAATAGTGCAGATTCCCATGGTGATTTTACCCACCCTCCCCCGTTTTTAAGCATTTTGTCAAGATTTGCATCTTTCATAATTTGAAAGTCAGGGTGCCAATGCTTTCATGTATTTCATTAAAAATTTTTTATATGGGGCCGGCCTGTGGCTCACTCTGGAGAGTGTGGTGCTGATAACACCAAGGCCCCAGGTTCGGATCCCATATAGGGATGGCCGGTTAACTCATTTAGTGAGCATGGTGCTGACAACACCAAGTCAAGGGTTAAGATCCCCTTACCGGTCATCTTTTTAGAAAAATAAAATAAAATTTTTTATATGTATTATACATAAAAATAGTGCATTATGTACTAAAGAAAGTAAAATATGCATCTGGATACCCATCTTTCAAGCTATGAAATAGAAAATTCTTGGAAGCCTCCATGTGTCCCTCTTTCCAACTGCATTTCCTTCTCCATCTCTGCCAAGATAACCACTAATGACTTCCTAATTATTCTCTTGCTGTATAGTTTTCCTACCCATGAACACTGCCCTAAATAATATAGTTCTGACAATCTGAATAGCAAGCATGAATCTTGGGGGAAATTTTTAAAAATGATTTTATTCCTGATTCATGTCCCCCTCTCCCATTTTCTCTTTTCTCCATTCCTAGAATTCCTATTTTTTGGATGTTTGAGCTTCTAGACATGTCCTCTTGTTTTTCTTCTCTACTATTTTCCATTTCTTTTTCTTTTTACTGTTTTTCTGGGAGATTTTCTCATCTTCATCTTCTAAGTGTTTTGAGTTTTTCATTTCTGCTATAACGTCCAAGAACTATTATACATAATAAAAGATTTGCCTGGGGAAAAATGTAGCTAGTGTGGCAAACGTAAATTTGTCCAGTTCTTTAACATGTTAATTTATAAGTATTAATGCAGTTTATATTTATTATTATATGCTTGACCTTAAGGAACTTAAGTTTATTTTAGCTATTGAGAGTGATATATATCCTTGGGTTCACAATTCAGTGAATGAACAATTTAAGTACAGCAGGGACCTGGAGCTGCTCCTTAACCTGGCATGAAATCATGTAGGTTACTGTTGTAAGTAAAGAGCCAAATGAGTTAGGGACTAAGAGAAGTCCCCCATTATTCTGAGAACTTGGATGTGTGTGGTGAGAAGGGGGTGCAGTCCCCACTGATTACCTTTTTCCAGTGACTCTGGGCTAAGGAGTTAAGACTTAACCAGCTCCAGTCCTAGGTTAATGGAAAACTGTCACTTTACTAGGGGTTACGGTGCCCAAAGTTGTTAATCACTCTTCTTCATGAAGTTTAAATGACAATAAAAGCTGAAGGAAAACAGGCAAAGAAATGCAGAGCAGTATTATTTGTCATCGGGTTCTAGTAGACTTGACCCAAACAGATGAAGCACATTTTCCCAAAGTTACTCCAACACACTTGCCAGCACCAGAGAGTATGTAATCAGAGAGGTAGGTGACATGAGATTTTGCTTCCAAAGGCTGGCATACTGCTTGGTGTAGACCTAGAAGCCAGATTATACAAGTGAGTTGAAAGGAGATGATTATGTTCAGAAGGGGCAGTCTGTCAGAAGGTAAAGAAGGGAGAATAGGAAACAGGCCTTCTTACCACTTTTGCAGCTTGTACAAAGAGTACTAAAGGAGAATGAAACTCACTGGTAATCCCTTATAGCATAGTGACCCCTAAAACATAGTCCAGCATCTTGGAACCTAATACACCCATAGCAACTCCTCTTCCCTAGAAGGGAGGTTGACAGAGTAAGAGTTTGAATAAATCCCCTCTCCTAGAAGCTCACCATTTTAAAAGTAGTTTAGGATTACCATAACACCTCCCTACCCCCATTAATCCTAGTTTGAGTTGACAAAGATTTTGTATCAGGAAACAGTTTTGTTGAAAAACTAATCTAAAACAAAAGCTTACTCCCATACCAAATAGCTATGGTAAACTAAATTAGAATGGGTTGATCACAGGCTAAACATTAACCCCTTCTATTTTGCACTTGTAAGAGCACAGGAAATGCTAATGGAATAAATGAATGAATGAGTGAGTCTAATTATAATGGCTCTTTAATGTTCTGCATGAAATAAAATTGTTGATCTAAATATCTCATTCTATATAAGCCACCATTTATATAATAGAAACCACCTGCCTAGTCAGAAACCACTTAACCTCGGAAACCACTGCTAACTTCCTCCCGGTCAAACCACTTTTTGATGTTTCTCTTTCTTGAACTCTGCTGCATCTGATGGCACTGAAAACCTTTTTCTTGTTTTGTTTTGACCTTTTAATATCCTGATTTTCTTCTCTTTTACTGCTCTTTCTAGTTTACTTTGCTGTCTGAATTTCCTCCTCCTTTTTAAGTGTGGCTGCACCCGAGGGCTTGTACTCGTATTTGGCTTTCTGCTCTTCAACTATACTGACCTCACTTTGAGGAGTTAAATGTAGATGATGATCAGGCCTAACCTCTCACTGTTGGGTCATGTACTTTGCATGCTGGTCGTTGCAGCTTGTTTGTATTCTTGTATTCTCCTCCTCCTCCAACACCTACAAGCTTAGCATTCCGAACACTTAAAAATTGCCCTTCATGAAGTTTAAATGACAATAAAAGCTGAAGGAAAACAGGCAAAGAAATGCAGAGCAGTATTATTTGTCATCGGGTTCTAGTAGACTTGACCCAAACAGATGAAGCACATTTTCCCAAAGTTACTCCAACACACTTGCCAGCACCAGAGAGTATGTAATCAGAGAGGTAGGTGACATGAGATTTTGCTTCCAAAGGCTGGCATACTGCTTGGTGTAGACCTAGAAGCCAGATTATACAAGTGAGTTGAAAGGAGATGATTATGTTCAGAAGGGGCAGTCTGTCAGAAGGTAAAGAAGGGAGAATAGGAAACAGGCCTTCTTACCACTTTTGCAGCTTGTACAAAGAGTACTAAAGGAGAATGAAACTCACTGGTAATCCCTTATAGCATAGTGACCCCTAAAACATAGTCCAGCATCTTGGA